TCTATAACATGGCATATTCTGTTCAATTCTTAAATACAGCAGTATAACTATTAGTTAAAAGTACAAGACATATAAATATTCCATAGTCATTTTATCTATCTCTAGTATCACTTATAGCATTTTAGTCTTTTTATAGCAATAAATTTGAAAGAATTATTCTGTATTCTGTCAACTTCTGTATTTCAGTAAAATAGAATTGGCTCCCTAAAATCCCAAAGTCATAAAATGCATTTTATGTGCTTTATCTATCCATAAACAAAATACGTGTCTTTCAAAATAAATATATCATTAATCAAAATAAAGTATATTATAATTGTAAAACTATTTATAAAGTAAGAATGTTAAGCAACAGAGAAATGTGTCTATGAAGATATGTGTAGAGAAAAATACTTAAAAAGAATTTAAAAATATGTTGTATATAAATATAATGTAAGCAGATTATATAATTGATAATTGCACTATACAAGACACCCATTATTTGTAAGGTATGTATCATTTACATAAAACTGAATACATAAATCCTAGAAATTATAATGAAAATCCACGAAGATTATTATTAAATACTATGGAAAATATAATTCAATTGTTGAATATTCTACATTTAAATGCTGCTAAATTCTTTAGCATCACCACTTTAAGTATTACCTCAAGATACTAAAGAGTTCTTTGTCTACCAAGTCATGCCTTCCAGGAGGTTCAGTAGCCCCCCCTCCATCAGTGGATTCAGCCAGCAAGTTAAAAATGAGTCTTCATGAAACTTTTGTGATATATTACTTTTTAAGTTTTTTTCAACTTGGATGCATTGGCTTTTTACACATTGCACAGTAGAGAGAAAGAAATTATTTCCTACCTTCTAAGGTAGCTTGGCAGCAGGCTGTTTGTGTCTACCCTACCAGTAGGTTCTTCCTACATCTGATATGAAACAGGCCAGCATTCTCCACCTTACATATCATTCTCATGATTTTCTTTCCTCTACCTGTTACTATTCAGGCATTTGTACTGGCCTGTCCTTGTGGTTCTGAAGGATACTTCTCAGCTGCCTCCACTAAGAGTATCACCTGTGCTCATTCACTGTTTCTTTTAAAGGGGTCCTGCCCATCTCCCATCCTTCTCTCCCCCTCTCTCTCTGTTCCTTTCACTTTCTCTCTCTCTCTCTCCTTGTCTCTCCCCTCTTCCTCTCTCCTCTTGCCCCTGAAACAAGAGGCTGGTCCCTCTCCCCATTACTCTTTTATCATCCCTGTCCCTAATTTATAAAACAAAACAAAAACAAAAAAAACAAAACAAAAACCCTCTGCTTGAACCCTTTTGCATGGCATCTGTCTCTTGCTTGATGCTTTTTTTTTTTAATTGTAACACTCCTCACCTTGACAAAAAAGCTTCTTGTCACCATTACCAAAGAAGGGAACTAAGTCTTGCAGGTGTGTGTGACACCCCTAACCTGTAACCTGTTTCCTACTGTCTCTCTCTCTGAATCTCTCTGGCAAAGATCCATGAAGTGGCAGGTGTGTCTTTTGATTAGTTTTTACCAGCAGGATTTCACACTTTGTTAGCATACTTCAGGGCTAAGGCCTTATCCTAACTCTCAAGATAGTACTTTTGTTTTTCTCCAGTCACTGACTCTGCAAGCACTTTATGCTTGGGTAGGTGATGGGAGAAAGTACATGTTTCCTTATTTTTGTGTCACGTGTCTTGGTACTTAGTTTTTTAATTCTTTCCTCAAAAATTAAGAAGGACCCTTTAAATATGTTGGCTGTGTCACCCAAGAACTGAGAAAAATCTCAAGAAATGTCACAAACAGAAACTCTCCGTGTAAGTTAGATATTAATTCTTGAGTGAGTTTATCCCTACTAAAACACAAAATTCATTCACCCACTAATTCTCACAGCCTCATAAGGAAAAATTCCAATCAAGATTATCTCCTCTGCCAAAGGCATATATAATAAATTATTTGACATTCTATGTTTAGTATGGCCATCATTCTCTAAACAAAAGTGTACAACAAAATTATTTATCTGAAGAAAAGATGCTTACAAAGAAGCTAACAGTCATCTGTTCTACTAAATCCAGTCTAGTAGAAAGGTCTTGTGAGTTTCCTCCCCTAGTGTGGCTTCCTTCCTTCCTTGCTTCTCTCCTTCCTTCCTTCTTTCCTTTCTTCCTTCCTTCCTTCTCTCCTCCTTCCTTCCTTCCTCCTTTCTTCCTTCCTTCCTTCTCTCCTTCCTTCCTTCCTTCCGTTGCCTTTCCTCATGAATAGATGTTGTCTCATTATGTATATTTTGTCACACAAAGGCAAAGCTCATAATGATAACACCTGTTACATACTTCTTTTTTTCTAACTCCCTTTAAGATCTGTAATAATCAGTTACATGGTTTATATGTGCCATAGAGACACAGCTCCCTCCCCAGGATTCTCTTGAGGCAACCATGTTCAAATGCTCTTTCAGATGCAGTTTCTTCTAGTTGCTAAAGGAAGCAATCACTTCTGTCAAAGACATCTTCCATGTAATAGACATACCTAGAAAGTAATTACTTAGTGTTTCTTTGGAAATTTCTCCTATGAGAAACATTTCATTATCCTATTTCGAACTTATAAATTGTGATTCCTTGTTAATGTGTTCATGGTAAAATTTTTGAGGGGCACACCTCATCCTCATATTCACTCACTCACTGCTGGATTGGTTTGTGATTTGCTAATGATTCCACTATTTGTACAGATGAATTGGGAGTAGTCAACTCAGTATTTGTCAAATGTGGAACATCAATACAAGTTCCATTTTGGAAAAATGAATTAATTCTAATACTAAAAATGAATTAATTCTAATACTACAGAGACTGAAAAAAAACATAATTTTCTCCATTTTCCATCCCTGGTGTGTCTATGAACTGTCAAATTACAAATTTTCCAAACTAAAAGAAAACTACTTTTAGAATGAGTATGTCCTATATTTCTTGATGTGTATACTGAACATATATATATATATGTATATGCTTCTTATTTAATTATTTACTTTTTATAACTAGAATTCTAAGAATAAAGCAACAAATAGCATAGCATCATTTTGGTTCTGACATATTGTTTCATCATTAAACTATTAAAATTCTACCTTATAATTTATAGATTAATGATTTTAATAGATAATATAAGTATCATGGGGTACAGTATGATAAAGTGATTTATGTATACAGTATACTCTGTTAAAATTTTGCACTTCCATCTTCTTAAATAATTAACATTCTTTTGATTTAGAAAATTCAGGCTATTTTCTTCAAGTTTTTATAAAATATATAAAAATGTGAATTACTATCTCTCTACAGCAATAATGTAAGACAACAGAATTTCATATAACTATGTATTTGTATCTATTAAATATATATATTACTTCACATAAATTTTCATTTTTGTTTTTAAAAGCACTGAAATTCAACAGAATGTTTTGATAAAAAAGAACCACAATTCAGAGGGTTAAGGAAATTGGACATACTTTGGAGTCCTTGTCAGCTCCATTGACTCTGTTTGCTATCTTATTTAATTCATGTTTAGGAGACATGCATGGAATATAATTACCACAAGCATAATATAATTGCAGAAGAGGCTATTGGCATTTCAAATTCACAAGGAGAAATAAAGTAATAGGTGATAATGTATCCAAACACTTTTACTTAGTAAATCAATCATGTCAATCATTTTCCAAGGGCAAGATTTTAACATATATACATCAAGTACACTTGAGATGAATAAATCATTTAACCTTTTTAAAGTCATATGTAAAATTGAGTAGCTCTAGCTTACCTAACTCTTAAAAATATGTGATAATACAAAAATACCATTCAAATAGAAATAATATTAGAAGATACTTATAATATTTCTGAATGACCCTTACTTCTACATATCAAAAATACACAATTTGAAGTTTGAAAAAATATTAGCAAAACTCTGTACCATATTAATTACATTTAATCTCTATAATATGTATTATATAGCTTAATCAAAGATTAATTATCTCAAGTGTCTTTCAACTTTAAAATACATGATTATTAAAAAAATATGTCTCATTTATTTCACCTTGAAACTGTAAGGTAAGTAATATAGCCAAAGAATTTTTTTCCTTATTTGAATAATATTATGTCCTAATTATGATACTGTGTTACAAGTGAAACAAGTCAGGATTTTTTGAATCAATATTATGCTCTCATCATATATATATATATGTAAATATAATAAAATATATAAGAATATAGTATATACTATACACTTATCTTTATAAACCAAATAATAATATTAAAATGTGAAGACAAATGTTATCTATGATAACTAACTAAGAGAACTGGACATCATTTTCAACTACCATTTGCCCTGGCTTTATTGTCATCATAGAATGTGTATGCAAAGAATATGAATTACATGATAGTTTTATTTGCATATCGATGTGCAATGATATGAGTACTATATTTGCCTCAGAGATCATAGATTGGTTTGTGTTAGAAATATGCTAAAAGTTCCCGGATATATTTGACCCTTATTGTAACTCCAGCTGTAATTCTTAATGAAATTGCATTGAAATTTCAGTCTCACTGATTTTGTTTCCAAAATCAACTTCATGGGTCAAGCACGGGTGAGTTTGTCTACAGCTGTAGACAAACCTAAGCAAAACTGGAAAACAAACTCCCAGGTGGTTGGCAGCAAAGTTGCTTTAGCAAATGTTTCTTGTCATCTGACCGTTGTTTTGAGGATTTTCATCTGCCACTCAGCTTCAGTCCTCTCCTTCCATTCATTATTCCCAAATTCAAGGTCATCGATATAGATGTCTAAGCATGTTTTTCCAAAAACCCAATATCCCATGTCAAGAACAGGAAACTACGTTATGACATGCAACCATAAGCATGCTTAGAAAACAGAAATGATAGTCTAGTTCATCTAGTTTAGTATTCATTTTGTAAAATATACCAGAGAGATAAAAAAATAATGAAGTGCTAATTTTAAGAAAGGATATCATCGTGCTTACCTTTAATAATGTTGGGCTTTGGGGGCATGCTGAACTCATATATGGTGGGCTCAGAATATCCCAGTCTATTGGCAGCTGTGATCTGGACTTCATAGCCCATGGTCCACTGTAAGTGTTCCAAAATAATGTGGTCCTTATTCCCCTGAACCTTCTTCTCTAGCCACTGATCTTCTTTATCCTTCTGTGAATGGAGAGAAAAGAACTTTTGGGACATGTTGCTGTGAAAAGGCTGTATTTAAATTTGATGGTAGAATAATATAAATAATTTTATTATCTCATTTCTAAAAATGGATATGTGAAATTGCTCATTTAATGACTTCATCATTGTTTCTAATACTTGTCTACATGAAAGGTATATACTAGCTGAGGACTGATGATTTCACAAATCAACCATGTGGCAGTTTGATTCCACCTGTTAATTTTATTCTTTATTTCTCACGTAGAAATTTATTTCAAAATTCAATTTTGAGACTGTTTAAAGAAAGATGATTAATAGAATGATTTCCAGAGACTATTATTCACACTTGTTGAAGTAGGATATACACCTATGAAGTAATTCCGGGTATGTATTTATAGATGCATAATATCAGTGGTGTTTTTCATGATATAAAATGAAATAACACACAAGGATAATATAGCAGACAAATTTTCAGCAATGCTTTCCATTGGTATTCTTTCCCATGAACACTGAAATACCCTAGATAGGTTGTTTTTATTGATTTGGTTTTTGTCTTTTCTTTTCCAATTTCCCTTCCCTCTGCTGCTTTTCCTCTCTCCTCCACTCCTGCAGTCAGCCTCCAATTTTACATCAAGGTGTATAAATACATATATCAGTATATCACACACACACATACACACACACACACACACACACACACACACACACACATTAGTGTAGCCCTAATTTTATAGGCAAACTGTAAACTCTGTGACTTCAAGCATGTGTCTTTAATATCCTGCTTAAAGACCACCATGTCTAGTTTTTATCTTACAAGTTATCATCTACGTATTATTTGACTTATTCTAAAGGATGTAAGAGTAGTTGGTATTTGAAAAAAAACAACATCAATACTACTACAATTATTAAAGCAGAAAACACTCCCCGATTTTCTGAAATAAATCGACTAAAACAAGATGATAATTGAAATCATCATGTTATTCTTTTAAATGTACATATATACATATATATGTACATATATATACATATATAAAATGTGTGTTCCTGATGTATTTACTGTTTTTTTAATTTTAAAACATTAAGAATACCTTTGTTGGTCACATGCATGGGTACATGTCTGTGTGTATATGTTCATGTTCATGACAAAGCAAGAGGGCATTAGATCATACATAACTGAAGTTTCAGTAGGTTCTGAGACACAAAAGAAATATGCTGGTAATTAAACTCATGTCCTCTGCAAGTATATTCAGAAATCATAGCTTCTGTGACAATTCTCTAGCCTCCTGTATCAGATTTTTTAATTAACTTTTATTTATGTTTGTGATGTATAAAGACAGGGGCTGCACAAAGCAGATGATATTTACATGCCCTTGTGTCTGTGGCATGACCCCAATAATCAGGGATAATCTATGCAATTATGATCTTAGGCCACACATAAATATTTTAGTTTGTATTTGAGTGAAGTCACATATGAAAGATTTAGACTATGTCAGATGATCACTATAGGACAAAGGTTATTCTTCTAGTAGGATGTTCTTTCATGTGTGCATCCAAAACTGTCCAAGAATATAAATTATGGGATTTTGATCTGTTATATAAAGCTTTTAATTTTCTAATAGACTATTTCTGAAAAATCTAACATTTGATATACTAGCCTCTTCTGAATTACCAATAATTTAAGTCTTAATGTAGTAAATTATATTGTAATGCCATTTTACACTGATATTGTAAGGAAGCAAAGAGAGGAGTACTGTTTCTGACATATAAATCAATTTCATTTTCCATTCAACTTAAGACAGGGAGGTATTTTAATCCCCTAATTGCTATTCCTAGGGAATAGAAAAAAATTAAAGTGGGTGTAACAAAATATTCCCCTAGGCAGGAGAATCTCAATTGCACATTGGTAGACTGCTTAATTTGCAGAAATAGAGTGCCCAGGGAATGATTTCAGATAAGCAGTAGCAAAGTGTCCCTCAAGGTAGCTTAATGAGATGATTTGCTGGGTAGGACTATCATTAATATGCTAATTAAATGGTGAAAGACTAGTCCATTTGAAAAACAGTCATGGTGTGTGAGTAAAGCTTTTATCAGTCAACACTTATCTGGAAGAAAACCATGTGACAGTTGAGGCAGATCTTTAATAGTGATATCCCAATGCCAGCATTCAGGAGGTTACTCCTATATTCTACATAGAGATGTGCGTTTTGTGTTTATAAGGGAGCTCCTTCTTGATCCATCCTTTACAGGAAATAACTCAATACCTTTCCTAGACTGTGTAGAAACTATAGCTAACATAGTCTCCCATTAAAATAAAATAACTATAAAATAGTCAACAGAAAAAGTAATTACATGATAACAACATTCATGTTGGTTCTTCTGACTTCTGGGATGTATGATATAAGGTTCATATGACCCAATAGCAATTTTCATCTTCTGTGGTTTCCATTTATCTATTCGTCACATGTCCCTATGTATGTAATAAGAATTCTTGAAAGTGAACTTTTTCATTTGCTATTTAAGATGTATAAGTACTTGTCATTAGTTCTGGTATTTTCTACTAGAGCACCATTTTTAAATGCATAACTTGAATCAACACATTGGCTCACAGTTACGCTAATTTAGGCAAAGGTGTATTTTATAATAGGAAATATTAAGAAAAAATAAAATCCATCCTCTTACAGCAGAAAGGATTAGAAGATAAATTACCCATATGTTCCTTCTTCTTTAATATTCATAGCTATTTACTGGAGATATTTCAAAATATGTTTAATTGGTGTGTTTAAATATATATATGTATATATATATATATATATATATACATATGCCAAAACTATTACTAGGAAGCCTTGTCTTCAAATAATAAAAGCTCATTTTTGTATATTCACTAACTTAAGACTCTTTAGTAAATTAAATTTTTCTGTTACATTAAGATATTATTATATAATATGTACATTCCAAGTAGATTAAGAAGGTCAATCAAAGCTTTAAAATACATTCCTTAACTACTGATTCTGGTCCTGAATTTATCTTTCACACAATTGATTTTAAACAATCAATTTTCTTCAGTTCTTCTTAAGTCAGGAGAGATTTAACGTGCCAACACTAAGAAATAGTTACGGTCCCATAGCGACAATCAGTTTAGAGAGAATTTTGTAAAAAACTCACAGATGCATGAAAAAGAAACTATCAAATTACATTCAGTCACATTAACACTAAAAATACGTGTAAAAACTCCATTCTTAATATAGTTTCTTGCATTTTCTCAACTATTTTATTAGATTAGTAGACTTGTCTTTATTCTTCAAATATCAGAACTTGATCTCATAGCCTTATTACTACAAATGTTAAGTCCCATGAGGTGTCCATACAGACTTTAAAATCTTGATTTTAATACTCGAAATCTTCTCTAAAACATTCTGTCTACCTAATGCGTGAGGCAGCAAAAAATATAATTTGCCATGTTAGAACTTAAAGTTGTATACTTCCTGGCTCATAATCTGCAGGTAATTAATCTTTCAGAATATATACATATATGTATATGTGCATATACATATATATATATATAATTTTGTCTTTAGTGGTTGAAATTAAAATTTAAAACATATATGCGTTTGCCCACTAGACATCAGCTGGCACATAAGGAAAGCATGGTCTCTTTTATATTGTCCCCACACATATCACAGTCAGAAGTTTACCTCAAAGGACCATTTTCAAGATGTGACCATTACAGCTACTTAAAAACTTCAAAACATTGATTCTTCATGGAGATTCACAAGACTGAATGGTCAGAGAAAAGCCATTATCATGAACTTGCTGACAACTTGCATTGTAGGAACAACAAATCCTTGGAGAACAGATTATTCCCCATTCAAGTGAATATCCTTTAGACTGAGGTTGCACACTTTAGATAAATTTTACAAACAGTACCTAAGGCTCCTAACCATTTATCAGACCACCTAGCAAGGTAGAGATTCTCCTATCAACAACTCCAATATGGACACAATGTCACTAAATGATTTTGAGTTACTTGTAATGTGGCCACTTAGATTAAATCTCCTTTCTATGACTTAGCATTATTGGTCTCTTTCATTTGTACATTAAGGTATGCAGCTGATCCTATCTTCTTGGGAATGCTGACATCCAGGCATTTGTCCTAAAACTCTGTTTATATAAAGGATTTTCCCTGGGCTGTGGTGGCACATCCCTATAATCCCAGCACTTGGGAGACACAGGCAGGCATATCTCTGATTTCGAGGCCTGCATCATCTACAAAGCCACATAGAGAAACAGGCTCCAAAGCAATACAGAGAAACCCTGTCGAAAAACAAAACAAAACAAAGCAAAGCAAAAAAGGGATTTTTTAAGGTCCCTTCAGCTGTTTTTTCCATGGTAGTGATACAATTAAAAACGTGAGACATAATAGCAGAAATAGGACAACATGCGAACAGGAAAGTGACCTCGGGAAGGAGAAAGGAAGGCAGGGTAGGGAGAATGAGGATGTGATGACTTAGTACATTATATGCATTTCTGACCATGATAAAAAGGCACCATCATTTTCATGGTTCATGTAAGCATACATTCTGAGACAGCATCAAACACAGCTTGATTCAGGAGGCCTAAGAAGCAAACAAATGGGTAGTGTATTTACAAAAAAAAATTAATCAGAGGATCTAGTATTCTCAGACAATCTTTTATGGATAAAATTTAAGAATACCAAAGATGTTTCACTGTACACAGGAGTGAAACTATCCAGGGGTTGGCACAATTTCCATGGACACATATTACTTGTCCAATAGTGTTTTATATTTTTATTTATATATTTTGATTTTTGTTTCTTATATATTGAAAGTTTTATGGTTTCTTCTTCTGTTATATGGTCTTGTACTCCATCAGATAATTCAAATTCTCTTCTGTCTATTTTTAAAGGATAATGTAGGAAGCACACTTTGTACTTGGTTATTTATAAATTGGAAATCATTGAAGAGTAAGCAATATCCTTCTAAAAATGCAAAAGGGCTCCAAATAATTGCTTTGCAAAACTTTTACTAAGAGTCTGAAGTTCTACAGTTAAGATGGTGTTCTCTGTACTGGTTACAGACATAAGTAATAAAATAATTGATTAGTGGTCAGTTGTAGTTACGTTGGAGTTAACAATCATTTCCAAAATTGTGTTAAGAACAAATCCTCTGGTAGTTTGGAATTAACAAGCTGGAAATTGATAGGAAATATTAAGAAAAAATAAAATCCATCCTCTTACAGCAGAAAGGATTAGAAGATAAATTACCCATATGTTCCTTCTTCTTTAATATTCATAGCTATTTACTGGAGATATTTCAAAATATGTTTAATTGGTGTGTTTAAATATATATATGTATATATATATATATACATATGCCAAAACTATTACTAGGAAGCCTTGTCTTCAAATAATAAAAGCTCATTTTTGTATATTCACTAACTTAAGACTCTTTAGTAAATTAAATTTTTCTGTTACATTAAGATATTATTATACAATATGTACATTCCAAGTAGATTAAGAAGGTCAATCAAAGCTTTAAAATACATTCCTTAACTACTGATTCTGGTCCTGAATTTATCTTTCACACAATTGATTTTAAACAATCAATTATTAATTAAAACACAATAATAATTATAGTTAAAAGGGCATAGCATGGGCCGGCATTGGTGGCACATGCGTTTAATCCCAGCACATGGGAGGCAGAGGCAGGGAGATCTCTGTGAGTTCGAGGCCAGCCTGGTCTAAAAAGCGAGTTCTAGGACAGCCTCCGAGACAATACAGAGAAACCGTGTCTCAAAAAAAAAGGGCATAGCATGAAATCATGAATTCTGCTACTGTACATTGACATCAACAAACTATTTGCACTGAACGTGGTGTTGGTGCTACTCTAGAGATGTAGTCAAACATTGCTTTTAATTTCAAGTTAGAACATTCACAGAAAGATATAGAGCCACATCCTTATTTTATTGTCTTTTACTGTTCATTCTGGTATTTTATTGGCATCCTTCCTTAGAGGTCATTAATGTCTATCTGTGCTTTCTACCAATAACTTTCTGGGTGCATTTATATGTAAAAAACAGACATGCAGGACTTACTCTAGTGTAATTAATGCTGCTGCTCTGGTCTATGTACGTTAGACAGAGATTAACTTTTGTATAATTTTCAAATGAGAAAATGAGAACTTTCAAGAAACCTGGCCCAAATTGCATTATATTGTGAGATTTGATAGACCTACAGTCCAAGGAGACTTTCAGAGGCCCACTGGTGTAGAATCTTTATGGTAGAGTATGCAAAGACACCCTACTGTTTTTTATTGCCAGCTTGAAGGCTAGAATAGAGAGTGATCATTCCTAAAAACAGATACAAGCAAATGACACTAAAAATACTCACATAAAATGTTGTGTTTAAATGTGTGTGTGAGTGTGTGTGTGTGTGTGTGTGTAACAGCAATAATAAAATAAGAAGATCCCATGAATTTTAAAGGATATGTGGAAGATCACAGACATTATTAAATGGAAGAGTAAATAATAATATTATATATTCATTTTTAAAGAGAGATGCCTTGTAAAGGGAATATTAGAACTTAGTGGCAAAGTTAAAATGGTTTATAAAGTTTATTATTGATGAATTCCATAGGAAATCAGTTTCTTCTCCATGTCTTAAAATCTAATGTTCAAACTGAGAAAACAACACAATTTACAAAATATACATTATAAGACAATATCGAAGATGTATTCAAGTGCACTATAGAACTGCAACTTTAAACATATGTATAGAAAATACAAACAAAATTTTTGTGGGAAAATTTTAAGAATCAATCAGGCAGCTAGGTGGTGGCATGTGCATTGAACCCCAGCACTCAGGAGACAGAGTCAGGCAGATCTCTGCAAGTTCAAGCCAGTCTGGTCTAAAAAGCTACACAGAGAAAATCTGTCTCAGAAAAAAAAAGAAGAAGAAGAAGCAATCACTCTATTACTGTCAGTGGTCATTGGCATCATGGGTAAATATTGTTGACTATCTCTCAACAAGCAAATTTCTCCCTCACATACACCTTTAAGATCACACAATGCAACTCTTGATGTCTGCAGTCCTTCACTCACTAATAAAAATTATATTTAAATCAAATGATTCCTTTTGCTAAAGGTCAGTGACCCTTCTTTATTTAAACATTAGTGATAGGTTGATTTCATTATAACTTGTTATTAAATGTGATGTGCTAACATTCCTACCTTCAGCAGTTGACCTTCATTGTCAATGTGAAAGCATTAAGAACCATCTACAGGGGTTGAAGAAATGACTCAATGATGAAGAGCATGGACCATTGTTTCATAGGAACCCAATTTGTTCTCCAGATCACTCATAGTGGCTCACAACTATCTAGAACTCCAGGACAAGCAAATTTTACACTCTTTATACACACCAGGCATATATATATATATATATATATATATATATATATATATATAGTCTAGAAGAATACGTAGAGGCAAAATACCTCTGCATAAATTAATTAAAAATAAGTTTTTAAAAAGAAATATTCAGAAAATATCTCTAAGAATATCCATGAGGATTTTTTGAAAGAGCTTCGTGTGCAAAAGGAAGACTCGATAATGTCACATTTGAGTGGTATTATTTCAGGGGCTAGAGTCCAATGTGGATGAAAAGGCCCAGAATAATTGTATATCAGCATTCCTCTCTCTACCTCTTCACTTCTCGCACAAGGTAAACTATGACGCAAATCATCCCTTATTTAACTTTCACTTCACGTGTCAAAGGATGCTGCTTCAAATTTAAACCAGCACACAATGTAACTCAAATATGTGACATTTTACTTGATAAACTTCAGGTATTTTGTCTTTTTGGTGTGGTATAACTTGACACTCATTCAACCTCAGATTGTTTAGTATAATTTCTATCACATGCATTGTTGAAATAATATGGAAAGTTACTAATTCAGTTTTTATATTATGTTTAATGAACCCAAAGATTTAGGATAATGTACCAAGACCAAGTGGGAAGTAGGTTAAAACTAGTCACATAATGAGAAAAGAAAACACTCTTAGGTTGTTAAATCACATTTCAGACAAAATTAAGGTTAAAACTATCAAAATATTTCAAAACACTATGCTTATCATTTAATAAAATAAAACGTTACAAATATCATGTTGAATTTCTGAAATGGAAAAATTAACATTTATCCTTTATATTACAGAGTATAAATTCATTCCTGGCCAATCACTCAGGTCATTGTGACTCATAATGTAATAGGAAATAAGATACAAAATAATAATCAAAGATACTTACACTCCTGTATTTCACAATGTATTCTAAAATAGGAGCCCCTCCGTCATCTTGTTTTGTGATGCTGATTTTAAAACTCTTCCCACTGCTTGGCTGTCCATGTATGGAAGGGGGACTTGGCTCACCTAAGAGGGAACACAAAGTTTCTTCACCAACTCTCACTTCACATGCCGAAGAATGATGCTTCAATATTAAACCAACACCCTATGTAGCTCAAATATATGACATTTATCTTGATTTTCTTTAGATATTTTGCCTTTTTGGTGTGGTATAAATTGATACTCATTCATGAAATAAATTATCAACCTCAGATTGTTTAATATAATTTCTATATTTAGAAAGGGAATTTCCATGTTGTAAAAAGGGGTTCCTTAATAATGACACTGGAATAATGTTCTTATAATAATAGCATTTTGAAATAGTTAAAAAGGAGAAACTACATTCTCATCACTATATTTTAATACACACTGCAATACACTGGATGTATTTATACATACATGTGAAATTTACCTTAAAAATATTAATTTAATATTTTGTTTGTTTCATAAAATTATGTAATGAAAATTAAATAATTTCACTTCACTTCTTCCTCTCTCTCCTGTTGAAAACCATCTCTATCTTTTACGTCTTTCTCAGTGTGTGGCCCACGGAGTTTAACTAGCATGTGAGAGGAAGTTGTTTAATGAAGCAAGAACAACTTGTCAGTGGTTGTAGCACTGAAGGAAAGGACACTCGTCTTCTCAGTATCTGTCCGTTCTCCCTTTGGGAAGGGTAGGACTTTATGAACTCTCACTGTTTATCCATAATGAACGTTAGTTCCTAAACTACTGCTGATAATCTAATCACAGCAACTGAGTATTACTTTATTACAATGTATAATTCATTTTAAAATGAAATATAAAATAATATAGATTCTGTTGTATTGAAATAGATAAAATAATGTCTTCCATTTGTGCAAAATTCAATCAACACATGAATAAACAAATTGCCCCTAATTTTAAAGGACTCACAATTTTGGGGAAAGGTTGGCAATTCAACAATAGCATATTATAAGAAGGGAAGTTTTATAATTCAGAATGAATGAGAAAATGTAAAAAATGAGAGAAGTGGTGTGTGTATTTGTTTGTGTGTATGTGAGAGTATGTGTAGCTGTGCATCTATGTGGATCTCAAAAGCAAAATTTTATTTATATTTCTCTAATGTCATTCACCTACAGCTTACCAACTGTTGGCCAGTGATTAACAAGTATACACCAATCTGTACTTCCAAATCAGTTCTGACCTTACTAACCCACACCACTGAACTTAACCTCTATATGAGTGCTGTTGTTCTCAGCTCAGGTTCTCATGTTTTCAAGGTATAGCAAACACTTTGATGACTGACCCAGAATGGAGATTAATTTCTTAATAATGTACACTGGTGTTTTAAGGACAGGAAAATTGTTCATAGTCTGTAATTGTAGGTGGGCACAAAATTATAAATGTTACCCAGATGATAATCAAGTTGATCAAGTCTCTATTTTAGACAAATTTGAAAACTTCTGGGTGCCCTCAACAGTGGAGACAACCAAAATAAAATGTAGATATCGATGGGAGAAGGAGATATCATCCAGAAGCCCTATTGTCAACTTTCATAAGGAGGAAGTACTGGGTAGGGCTTTATCTAGACTGAAGGTGGAACATTAATGGAGGTATCCTTGGGAATTGTAAGCAAGAAGGGACAATTGAATTCACAGGAGCTGGCATCTAAGATCTGATCAGGACCTGAGATTTTACCTACACAGTAGTCATCCTGGTAAATACTAATGGAAGAATGAAAAGATTGCATTAGAAGAATGGATAAAAGCATCACACGATGGTTTCTGGGAAGCACTAGAAAAATTATTGCTCCAATATAGGTAGTAGGAATTTGTTGTCGTCAGTTTGGTTTCCCTAATAGGTGTCTACAACTGGCAGATTTGTGCCCAGATTTTGCAACAACATTCAGTGATCTTCGGTAAATTTTCTTACATTTCAAAAATGATATGAAGGTAATGCCTTTTAAAATTAAAAAAACTTTACATAAACCCAATAGAATAAAACTCAAAACAGTTACTTTTGAGAAAAAGGCCACAGATGATTATGAACCTCCTGTAGTCACCTTTGTAACCGAATAATTTAGAGTTTGGTGTTTCTCTTTCTTACAGCTCATGTAATTTTTGGGATAATAACTGTGTCTCATTAAAATACACATTACACACAACCATTTTTCTATGAACACAATAATATCTGCAGACATAATCTAATTAATCACTGCAAGTACAAAAGATATCCTAAGAGAAGATTTACTGCTTATACTCCAGCAGGCTATTTCTTTTCTTTCTCAACTTTACAGAAATGCTATTTTTGTAATCCAGAACAGCACTCACTCAGAAAAACTTCAACAGAGAGATAATTCACTTCCCTAAAGTATTGAAATGCCTTACTGCATTTAAAAATCCCATTAAATTTTCAAGAGTTGGATCTGGTGACAGAGAGCAGAGTAGTGCTGATTACTTACGGACTGGCAGTGTCTGGAATATTTCTATTTTACTGTAGTCCCCTTGCCCTTTTCCATTTACAGCTGCAACCCTGATTTCATAAGTCGTATTTGGTTCCAGGCTGCTCAAAACAACCATTGCTAAGAAAAAGAACACAAAAATACACTTACTTTACAGCATTACAATAAGGAAAAGCATTGGATTTATTATAAATTTGGGAGATTAACCACACAGGAAAATACCTGAAAAGAAAAGTAGAAGGTCATATAATGACAATTTGTTAGTAGTCTGCTTTGTCCATTTTATTATAGCTCCCACAAAATACAAAATTTCAATGGCAAAAAATAGCAGTTTCTCTTGGAACACAAACAGAAACTAAAAAAAGTCACTGAATCCCTTTTTTTAATATTTAAAAGATAAAATGAGAGAGATACACTATTTCTTTTGTATGCCTAAGTATCTAATTTATGCCAAGTCACTTATTTCTTCACAATGTAATGGAAATAAGGAGTTCAATCTAGAGTGCCTGGACTTCCAGTGGGAATGTTTCATTCTTGACAGGAAATGTCATGAACTTGAATCTTCAGCAACTGGGGGTCATTCATTTTACAATCTCAGAATGAATTAAATCAGGTCAAATTTTAGCTTATGCCACTCTCCACACTTACATTTTTATTGTAATTTATTATCCAATATATACTCTACCTAACCTGGGTTTACAATCATACAGTTAAAAACTGGAGAGCTCAAAATGTACAAAAACACATCTCAACAGAAACCTGTGGTAATACATGCCAAGCCCCATGATTTCACACATAATTTTGAATATAACTCCAGGTTTTATGTCACTGTCTGTGCAGAATTTTTCTTTTATTTTCTCCCTAATTTAGCTGTCGAAATTCTATCATTTTGTCTAGGTAATACTAATTATATTTGACAGGAAAAATCTAATGGAGACACAATCTCACAGCAAACTCCTTGTTTTTATGTTACGATTGCCAAAAATTGGACAAATGATTTTAATTTGAACAATCTAGTGGGAATGGTACCTCTTGGTTATATTCAATCAAGTCAAGGTTCTTTATACTACAACCAGTCACACTCAAAGTTAAATTCATAAGAGAATACTATGGTTAGTCATAAATGAATAAATTATCCTCAGAGAAGACAAAATTTATAAAGCTATAGGTTTTAAATGGGATGGAAACTTCATATACTTTATTTAATATAATTCATAATTTTAGGTAGAAGTAAGTTTCAAGGTATAGTACAGTTATCATTCCTTTACCTAAAATACAGAATACATTATGTAAATTTCCTAAGAGCAGGTAATTTTTAATGTCAATGCATAATCCACAGGTCAACTAGAGATTATTTTTACAATTTTTAATCTGATTAACCTATAACAATTGTAAAGACTAACAGAGTATTAAGTGACAGTTTTGAACAATCACATAGTGCATAATGCAATAACAAAAGTAAAAGAAATCTAATTCTCAAAAAATTAATTATTTTGTAATGAAATCTTCAAAATCCTTTCTTCTAACTTCCTACCTTTAAAAACACCATGAATATTCACTAAAATCAGCAGAAAGGATACACTCAATTTCATTATGTGAATATAAAATTAAATACTTTGGACAACACATTACCAGTCACTGTCTCAGATCCTGATGAATGATACTAATTTTAATGAAGGCAATTGACATAGTGAAACACTTGCTTGGATAGCAAGAAACATTCTGAGTTTAAATATAAGATGTCAGAGCACACTAAGACTTGTAGTGTTTTCAGGGATTACTCCCCGAATAAAGCAGCATGGTAATCAATGAATAATTAATATGAACCCCACAATAAACATTTGAATAAATAGGTCAATTCTTAGATGAGTGTAGTTATATAGTTTTTCAAGTGGTAAAGAAACATGGCTAAAATTAAATATAGGATATAGATAAAGGTTACAATTATATTGCTCATGAGGAGGGCACCTTCTTAATATACTATTAACAATTCCATAGATTATCACTAACATAACACCATAAATATGAACTTAAAAGGACAACAATAGTTGTTCAGTGGTGGACAGGGAACTCCACACGACCTGAATTTTACGAAATAACTACAGGCAGGTAACAAACGCTGAGGGCAGAAGTTGTCTTCCACATGGAAGGGCACACTAGTTGGTTAACCAAAACCGATTGTCAGCCCTGAAAAGAGGCACTTAATAAATATTGTACAGATAGAGCATGTCATAGTTATGTACTTAGGAATATATATGTAAGTAAAAACAAGTAATAAAAAGGGGGGGTCATGGATATGAAAGAGAGCAAAGAGATATATGGTGGGGTTGGAGGGAGGAAAAGGAATGAAAACTGATGTGGTTATATTATAATCTCAAAAACAAAAAAATTAAACATTCACTATATTTTACTTATTTTGTTATTTAATACATATTGAGTCATAATTATATTTAACTCAATAACAATGTATAATTATTACATAATGAATAGAACTTAATATATTTGAAAGAAAAAATGAGTAAACTCTATAAATTTAAAGAAGGCAAAACATGTATTAATTCCTCAAAGCACTAATGAATTAGTTCTCTGGACAATCAACATGATCCATGCAGCACTGGCCTTCAACCACATTCTTTTCATTCTGATAGAACAAGGATGCTGCCACAGAGGAGCTCATGGGAGACCTGTGCTTTAACTAATCAACATATTTGAAGTATCACAGTATTGACGTGTGTGGGGACTGCTGAAAGAAGCCATGTCATTATGGTTTGGCCTCATCATCCGATGGGATTCACTAACTCTCTTAAACAGACTGTTGATAGATTGTTAATAAATACTCTAAAATTAAACATCAGAGTAAAAAAAGCATAAAATTACGTCAAAAGCAAAGACAGTTGAAAAGATTGCTTTTGGTGAAAGAGTTACCATAATTTTGTTTTGTTGTTTAAATGAGTCTATCATTTGCATGCCATGAAAGAGAGCAAAATAAAAAAATATAAAAACTGTTCATCTTTGTGTTTCATTAGCTAAATATCATACATTATTAGAAATTAGAACTATTTTAAAATGTCCTAATGAATACTAGTGAGCATTTACATAGATGATTTTTATTTGTGTAAGAATGCAGTTACAAATGAGACATTATATAGATGCTTCCTCCACAGGCAACAAAGTTGGACAGCTACGAAATCTTCCCCATTTCTATGATAAAAATATGCTGCTGACAGAATCATCATGAAGACATGCAGAAGACAATTTCACGTCCATTTTAATCAGGGCAACCAAGAAAGTTCATATTCCTTGTCTTGGAAAGCTAGCAAGAAAGAAGAGCAACAGAGTTTAATCTTACAGTAAAGTTCCCTATGACTCAGAATTGTACAGATGTTTTAAATCTAGAGATCTATTTTTAATAATTTTGGTTAAAATTTGTAAGAGCTAAGCTAGTGAATTATCATACTATGTAATGAAAGAAAATCTTTGGTTTTGTACCGAAACCATAAATCCAAGTAATATGGAATGTATACATATTACTTGACTGTGCATTTCCAGCAAAATCTCCCCCTCCTAGGTGTTACCTTTTATCAGGCATTTTATAGGGAGACAGAAGCCATGGATGTCTGACTAACTAGCAATGGGAACCTACTTCTTTAGTTATATGATACACAATGAAGTTGATTTTGCATATTTTATCACATTAACCTGTTCTGCTCTATAGATCAGAGCATATCATGGTGACTTAGTGTACTGAGTTTCACATCAGCGCATTTGCAGACAAGAAGCAAAAATGGTCAAAATATGCTCTCCAATACTTTTGCAATGCTGAGCTTAAACACTCAGGGGCAAGGGAATAATAGGAGGATCTATAGAAATTTATCAAAATTACAGGAACTATATATGAAAGCCAATATAAGACAAGTCAGTTTGTTTTCAAGCCCTGTCTTATAAAAGCTTCCTCTAATAATCCTTATTCTGATTATAAACTTTTTGTGAAACTAGAGATTATTTTCTCACATAGAAAGAGCTGCATAAATGGTTCACATAAAGTGGGAAAAAGGAATATATTGCAGGGAAAGTAATGCCTGAATCTGTAATTTGACTTGCCTTCCTAAAAAGGAGGATATTGGCCTTAAACCATCCATAATTTTGTGGCATATTAGCAAACACAGCATTTCTGAACTCCTAAGGTGGAGACTGAAAGCAAACCACCACTTGAAAAATGCAAAGCTGCCCACTCTGTAAGAGAATTGTACCTCAGACTATGAAGTTAGTTAACAGATTTATTCCCTTCCATGTGCCCACACAATTGGACAATAGAACTATGGACTGATGTGTGGGATGGCTTCTTGCCCTATAATTTATTAGAAATTCAAAAGCAAAAATTACATTTTTGTGTAACTAGATTAAAAACTACTATGTCTAAGGACAAATGGTATACATGAATGCATATCCCTGCAACCTTAAGTCAGCATGACTTAGAAGTCCTACATTCCTTTGTTAGCTACAAGTTTTGTTAAGAAGCAGTTTTCCTTCCATAATTTAATGTTTTAGTTGATTGAAATATGGTTGAGTTTCTTAAATAACCATTGGCTATAACTGCAAAATTCTAGCTAAAAGTGCACTTTAAAATAATGGTACTTAAGTTGGCTCATGAAAGAAAGGCATGAACTTTTTAAAATCATGGTTTTACAACCACGGAAAATAATAGAAAAGGAAAAACTGAAATTAGACTCTCCTTTCAGGAGGTATCAAATTTTAGTACTGGGAGTTATGTAAGGTTTTGTGTATTTAGATACAAATAAGTCATATTCCTTTAACTATCAACAGACACAGAGTTTCCAGATATTTATAGCCTTTGGAGAAACAAAAATGATTGAGGAAACTAATTAAAATAAGCAGACATCTACAGAATGATTCAAATTATATATGTAACCTTCAATTTTTGTATCCTGGATTACTGCCGTGGCTTACCTGGATTCAGTGTAAGATGAGATGTCCCTCAGGCTAGCACTATAGCATCACTGCTCTTAAATGGGAGAGATGAGTTTGCCAAGAACTTTTCAAAACGCATGAGAAATCATAAAGTACGGATGAGGTAGAATTGCACAACAGGTTACCTGGCT